ATGACAATTCAACTGTTAAAGCATGAACACTGATGAACACTGATATTCACTATAATTGACTGAATTAACTGAATGGCTACACATAAACATACCTGGAACAAACGTTGGGGCGGCGTCAGGGGACGGTCCTCCTGCCTGATGCGTTGGTATATACAGTATATCCCTGAGTTGCCAGTGACCGCTACTCATGCAATGACAATAATTACAAACAAACTAACTGTTACTCATTCAAAGATGACCCTCAGTTGACAAAGGTTCTGGCGAATTACTTGAGTTGATTTACACAGACTAATTCAAGATTGAGCTTCCCAGGAGAAAGTGGAATAACAAGGCATTGATAACTGCCTTCACAAAGGCGGGACTCTGGGAGGGAAACACAAGTGTAGCGTCTATGGGGAAAAACACGTCTTCTTCTCAGGGGTTGCTAAACCACTCATGTTTTGCGGTGGAGTTTAATAAGAATCATTATTTAAATGGACTAGCAGTCAACGTGACCATGACATGACCAGCATAATATGTAAAGTACTTGAGAGTGTTATCAGAGATGCCGCAACGGAACATCTAATACGAAACAACCTTGTAAAGGATTGCCAACACGGTTTTATGCCGGGGCGCTCCTGCTTAACACAATTGCTCAAGGTATTGGATATTTGGACCCATCTTCTGGAACGGGGTGGTAATATCGACAATATTTACCTAGATTTTGCCAAGGCTTTCGACATTGTACCCCATGAAAGGCTGAAAATCAAACTGGAAGGGTACGGAATTCGGGGAAATGTCCTTGCGTGGATAGAAGACTTTCTACGTGACAGCAAGCAGTGTGTGGTGATAAATGGCCCATGGTATTAATGATGTAGTTCTATGTGCAGAATCATGTGATATCTTCAGATTAAAGTTGCAATTTTAGAACTGAACTCAAAACGGTATTCAATCTTACCAACACTACTAAATAAAGCTAGATTGAAGCAAAGTAAATGTGACTAGTTAATTTATTAGGATGAAAAATGATCCAGAATAGTGAAAATCGAATGATCTTGACATATAATTGACGTATTAAATTTAATATTCTTTAGGAAACAAAATTCAAATGACAAAAAAACCGGTTTTACTTACTAATGGACCGGGGTGTTGTCGCACACCATAGAGAACATGTCTTTTCTTGCTTGCTTTCACCATCACCCCTGCTGACCACCTGAGCTCGGATGTATTCTCTCCTCCTGGTTGTACACGTGATCAAGGGCTCCTCGGGCCATGGCACCAGCACTCTAAAGTAGGGGCCAGGCAGGGACATGCATGGGTTATCCAGGAAAGCTCTGATCAACATTGGTAGAGGCTGCAGGCAAGAGGGGCTCACTGCCAGCCTGATGTTATCCAGATCTATGAGATCAGTGAGGGTCTTGGCACCTAGATTGACTTCAGGAGTCTTCTGACCCTGGAAGGAATCGTCACCAACTGATTCGTCATGCCCAGATCCTCTCTCGCGTCTCATATCCATGATTTTTTGATCGCCACTCTTCTCTCCTCCTTTATCCTTACTGCAAGCATTGTCTGCAGAACTGTCTTCGGGATGAGCATAACAGGAAGATCTCCTCACAGTCTGCTCCACAATCTTAGAACAACTCTGTCCTTGGCTGACTCTCAGGAGCTCAAGCTGAAGAAGAGAACATGCTCGACCTTTCGGAGAACGATGACTTGACCCAAAGGAACCTCAATTTGGCAGTAGACACCTGCGATGACAATTGGGACAATAAGTCTCAGGTTGTGAAGTTGGTCTCTTCAGTTTAAGTATGATGAGCGACCTAAATTCTGCAGGTAGCAGGAACCTGAGAGCCGTTGTGAGCCACCTAGAATGTGAGAGACTGGACCTATCTGCAGGTAAGCAAGTCTATCAGGCATGACCCCAGTTTTTGATGGCACTGCAAATCATGTAACCATAGTGCACTGGCCGCACTCAGGTCGTCAATGACAGTATGTGCAAGCTCAACGAGTGGAGGGCCAACTGTGATTTTTTTCAAAGCTCGGATTTATTTCTAACTCAGTGGCAGAGTCCAGCATCTTGGGCCAAGAGGACCAGACCATCTGTTGTTTGAAAGAGTCTTGCCATCCAGCTCCTGGATCAGATGTCTGAGTGGCAACTCGTTGGCAGGTGGAGGTCACAAACAATCCAGACCAGCCTCCCAATCTTCCGCTCTATCCACTGTATGACCCCCCCTTGCCACCCTGTGTCTGTGTTGGTGCTGTCCTCCAATGGCCAGGTAGTCTGGTCCATGTCTCTGAGCCAGTTCACTATTCACACTATCCAGCTGTTTCCTCGATGTCATCTTTCTGGAGTGAAAACACAAATACTTCCTCCTGGTTCACTGCAGCAGGAGTAGTTCCTCCTTCACCATGGCAGGAACAACTTGTCAGAATCTCCAACTTTCAAGGAACACTCCTTTAGTGTCATCCCTTCTCCCATCAAAGAACAAACAATTGATTCCATTTTCTTATCCCCTTATCAAAATTCTCTTCTAGGTTACTGACAAGTTTCTCCTCCTGAGCTCTCTCTTACTTTGTTATGATCTATCACTCAGGAGAACATCATCAGGTGTTATCAAACCACCGTCATCCAGGCAGCTGTTGCTATCTCTGGCAGCAGTTTCTATATTTGATGAGCCTTCCATTTAACTCATGGAGTGCCTGGAAGGTTTAGGATCATTATTTTCTGGGTTAGGGACAGTCATCTTCCTGGGGTCAGCACTCGGATCAGCCATGGGAAGTCATTAAACTCTGAATCAGCTTGACTCAATCATCGGTCTTTTATAATTTCACCCTGGGCCTTCTCAAGCCTCTTTTTCCTCGGCAATCCTTTCTCTCTTTTCTGTCTCTTCAGGCAGCCTCCTGCCCTTGACCTGGAATATCTTCACAAAATCATATATTCCCCTATACTGCCAGCTGCCTTCTCTCTGTGCTTTGACAAATGCCAGTTCGATCACAGGAATCTTTCAGTTCACGCTTTGCAATACAGGAGATGTGAGCCTGGATTTACAGTCACGATCGCATCCAAACTCAGGACAGAGAACAATTGGGCACTTGCAAGTAATTATGTCAAATAACTGGTCCAGTTGCTTGGCAAAGCTGTCCTTAACTGCAGTTTTTCCTCTCCCAAGAGAGATATCTCTGGTTTTTCCCAACTGGCTAGCAGTCTCTCACTAATCTTCTTCTGACTTGTTATGACTGGAGGCTTGAACTGAGCGTTAGCCAGAGTGTACTGTGCCAAGACAGCTTTGGTCATATCACTGGCAATGTCTTTTGTTTGTGTAAGTTCTTTGGTTCTTTTTCACTGATTTGCCTGATTAAACACCGTATCTCAAAGCATTTCTTCATCGTAGGCAACTCCGACTTCAGAGCTTCCTCTCTCCCAGACCCAAGATAGTGACTGAGATGGCTGGATTTTTGGTTCCTCGTCCTGACACAAGCACAGCCATCGCAAATATTATCAAACTTATAAATGCATCGAATCTGAAACAGAAAAATATTGTTAGTTGGGTTGTTAAAGAATGGTCAGAAAGCAATGTTCACTATTTAATTGTAATGCAATTAAGCCCAGTTGCACGTTAGATTTCGATAAATTTCACGCTAGTACTCTAGCAAAAGGTTGCAAAATATTGAAACTGAAATTATTTTCTGTTTATATACACTAAAATCTACCAAAAAGTATGGGCCATTAGTTTTAGCTGATCTTCCTCCCATGACACACCCTAGTACAACAGGGCAGTACAGGGCAGTGTATTGGGCGCTGTTGTTTTTTTGTTTCATAAATGACATGCCTGACGTTGTACACTCCTCCATACAAATGTTTGCCTGACGCCAAGTTATTTCGGAAATTAAGAACCAAGCTGACTGTGAAAGAGCTGCAGAAGGACCTCTGTGGGCTCCAGGAATGGCCGAAAAATGGCTGCTGAGATTCAATGTCACGAAGTGTAAGAGGATGCACCTGGGGCGTACCAACGTAGGGAGGCGTGTCATATGTCCCAACAGGATGAAGAAACTGTATTATGTGAGCTGAAGTTCTTGGGCCATTGCGAGAAGAAGGTAAACCAGGCAAATATATTATTGGGTCTTATAAGAAGGTCGTTCAGATATCTAGACGGTCCGTCCCTAGTAACGATCTTCAAGAGTGAAGTGCTTCCCCATCTGGAGTACTGTCACCCCGTCTGGTCCCCGAGATATGCTAGGGACTGTCAGTTGGTTGAAAATGTTCAAAGGAGGGCCACCAAACTGGTGCCTGCACTTCAGCACCTCAGCTACCCTGAGAGATTGGAGCGCCTGAACTTGCCTAGCTTATACTACAGACGGGCAAGGGGTGACCTAGTTGAGGTGTATAAGCATCTCAGGGGGCACTACTCAGTCGAGTGTCCTTACTTGGAGCTGGCGGACGCTCGCCCCACAAGGGTCACAGCTCAAGATTGAAGAAGCCGCAAGTCCAGAAAACCGTGAGGGCAAACTTTTTCGGAGTGAGGGTTGTAAACTCTTGGAACAATCTACCAGAGAGTGTTGTGACGGCACCGAGTGTGAGCTCTTTCAAGACCAGACTTGACCAACACTGGAGCGGGTTCAGGTACATTCAGGAGCCGGTACATGCCCAGTATTTGCCAACAGTGTGTGACAGAGACGTGACCGATCACCCGGGCGGCTAGCGAGCCATCAGTGGTGAAGAGGATAAAAGTAAAAAAAAAAAAAGTACTTGTTTGAAGTGTGCCAAGTTAGTAACGTGTGGGCCCAGTTGGTTATTTAAGATGAGCCTAGTTGTAGGTACACCGTATTGAATTGATCAAAGATACGAATTAATACTTTGTGATATGAATGTGAAGAAAAAGGTAAATATGTTGCCTATTTCAGCATAATTTCATAATAATATAATCATTTATTGTAGATAATATATAAATTATAATATTACATATATTTTGAGTTGTCGATTATATGTAATTTAATAATAATTCTATTGTTAGGTGTAGTGGAGGCCATAGTGACGTCACCATGTACACACAGTCGGTCTGTCTGGCTGTGGTAGTTTGTCTTGTGTCTTCAGGTAATTTGGCTGTTAACGACGACCATCATCACGGTAAGCCCATACACACTTACCTAATGACCGATGTAGTGATTAGGTTAAGTTAAAAGACTAATAAATGCTCCAAGACCTACAACTCGTGACAACACTCAGTGAAGGTGTTGATAACGGCTGCTGACTCCTGCTGCAATACTAACTTTATTTATGGCTCTATTTCTCTTTACTTATTGTTATTTCTCATCATTTTATTTGCTAAATATTCGTCCATTGGCTGTCCTCGGGTGTTGATACAAGAATAGTTTGTTTTATGGTGTGTTATGGTGTGTGTGTTTTAAACGAATCTGACCTCTATGTGTGGCAGAAATTGCTCGTTTTTGCCCCTCCCCCCCCTTCCAGCAATAATGGGGGAAGCCCTGGGAAATATGGGTTTTTGAGTGGGGGAGAAAACGAGTCATCTAACCTTACAAAACCTAACCTAACCCCTAGCTTGGGACCCCCGGTAGGCTTAGCTTAAACTAACCTAAATGTTTCAGTAGTTTAAAACTTTGGGGTGTGCCATGTTCAAAAGTACAATACCTTAGTTAAAAGTGGGAGAACCCGGGATTAATAAGAATTGGATAGAATGATCGTCTTTCTCGTAAAACTTGGCAATAAACTTAAAATAATCGTAGGAGCACGAATGACAATAACCTCCACCACGGTCATTGTGAAACTGGTCAATGAAATTAAAATCCATATCCAGGCTGCTTCCTTTAAAAAAATCAAATGTGACTGGTTGAAAAAAATTCGTGTGATGATATCGATACATCATTGGTCACGACTGGATGACGTCAGTTAATATTGTTCGTGCGTGATGCGCCGATAACATCTCACAGACGAAGACTGAAAACTATGTAAAATCAATTAAATTCATTTGTATCGCTATTATCTATTTCCGCCTGGTATATACTGCATGGGGTTCAAAATGCTCAGAATAGGGAGATCTAAATATTTCAGTACTTTATAACTTTTGGGCACACTACAGTATGTCCAAAAGTAAAATACCAAAATAAATTTTTCCTTTGTATTTTGCTGTTTTTGAATGAATTTTACCTTCAAAACTGTCACAAATAAAAGATTTTGGGGTTTGACTCCCCCTACCTCCAATAATAATGGGGGCCTCTGTGAGAATGGGGTTTTGGGTAGGGGGGAACTCAAAAACGAGTGATTTGTGTCAGTTTTGAAGGTAAAATTCATTCAAAACATAAAAAAATTGTCACTAAAATATGCATCCTAACCTAACCTAACTAAGATAAAAGAGCCCTTGCAGTCACTCACTTCATATGCACAAAAAGTATTTTTTTTTCTTTTTATGAATTACATAACTAGTGCAACGCCAATGTTTTTGGTAGGGACAAAAAACACAGGGTTTGAGCACTTCGGGCACAACACACAAGTATTGTATACCCTGATAAAGTACAATTTCTAAAAATATATCCTCTTGCTGGTTAAAACGGGCCAGCAAGTCAAAATAGCGGAAATCACACCTGTTACACAAAGCAACCATACTGCAACTGAAAATCTTTGATAGTGGACGATGGGTAATAAAAACAAAAACGAATTTGATTGGTCATGGGCGGAATTGTCTGGCACATGCACAACTGGTTTTTTGAAGATGACAGCGGGTCACCCGATAATTTCCTAACCAATAGTTTTGAGCGCCATATCTTCTTTATTATGCGTTTGCGACAGAAAAATCTTCGACGAAAATTTTCTTAGAATTTTCAGTAGGTTTCACTTATGTTGCTGCCAGATTTATCATAAAGAATTATAGGACTAAAGTTAACAAATACCAAAAAGGGTTTATTTTACTTTTGGACACAGTGTGCCCCAAAGTTATAAACCACTGAAACATTTAGATCTCCCTATTCTGAGCATTTTGATCCCCATTTTTACAATACGGAAATGAAAAATAGCGACAATTGAATTTAATTGATTTTACGTATTTTTCAGTCTTTGTCTCTGTGAAGAGATGCTATCTGCGTGAAACCGAGTTAATTATGATTGTGTTTACATCACACGTGCGCAGTGTTAACTGACGTCATCCAGTCGTGACCAGTAATGTATTGATCTCATCACGCGATTTTTTTTCGACCAATCACATTTGAATTTTTTCAAAGGGAGCAGCCTGGGCAAGGATTTGAATTTAAATCACCAGTCTGACAATTGCTGTGTTGGAGGTTGGTTATCATTTGTGCTCCTACGATTATTTTAAGTTTATTGCCGAGTTTTACGAGAAAGACGATCATGCTATCCAATTCCTACGTAATCACGGTGTTCTCCCTATGTCTGTTGAGTGCCCACACTGTAAGTTACCTTGTAAATTTAGAAAGGACAAGCACCAGTGGTTCTGTAATTGGTCAAGGAAGTACATAGTTTAAGCTAGGCCTATGTTACAGTAAGTTGTTAGGTTAGGTCAGATGACTCGTGTTCTCCCCCCACCCAAAAACCCCGGTATCCCAGGGTCTCCCGCATTATTGTTGGGGGGGTCGGGGTGGGGCAAAAACCATCAATTTCCGACAAAAATTAAGGTCAGATTCGCTTAAAACACAGCAAAATAAATTGGAAAAACATATTGGTCAACCCTTAGGGACTCGTGTCCGAAAGTAAAAATTTACCCCAAAAAGGGAACATTTTCATTTCTACCAGAAACTGCTAATATGTACCAAAATGGCAGTCAGATTCAAGTAAAACACAAAAAAAAAACTCTAACCTAACCTAACTTAACCAATTTTTTTAGTTTACCTGCTACCCTGCACTGTGGTGGAGGGCAATCTGGTAATGGTTACACCAAAGAATTTCTGTCTTTTCTGAAAAGTAAACAATTTCCACACATAGGACACAGTCTTGATGTTGGTAAACACCGTGATCTTGTAATATTTGGATTGCTTCACTAGTGTTCTCATAAACTCGCTGAATGACAGCTTGATAAGGGAGAGAGCACTTTTTGCACGCCATCACTAGCCTTCAAAATAGCTGCTTCAAAACGATTGGTCAGCCAAGTCACATGACACGATAATTGAAGTTCATTAATGGGTTGTCATGTCACAAAGAGGAGGACGAGAAAAGTGAGGAGAGGAGGAGAGAAATGACTCTGACAACATGGCAGGTACGTAAATTTATGGCTACAAATTTGTGAGATACTATACTCTGTTAATATTGATTTGCAATAGAAATAATATTGAAGTTTTATGTTTGTTTTTTTATACTATAGTCTTTGTGTCCATAATATTAAAAATTGGAAACTTGCAGACAGCCAATGTTTGAATGTTAACCGATTTATTTCTCATTATTTCTTTATAGTACTCATTATTTATCATTATTATTATTTATTATTTCTTTTTTTTACGTTGTAAAAGTAAACTTAATGATCGAAGAGAAAAGACAATATTAATCTACACCACGAAGATGCTGGAAAACCAGCTATACAGCTAGACCCCGACTTACGACGGGATTAGGGACCCAAATCCAGGTCGTAAGTCCAAATGGTCGTAAGTCCGACATAGATGAAAAAAAAATAAAAAAAATTTTTTAAATAAAAAATCTACAATGAAATACAGTACAGAAAAAGTAATAAATAATGAGGAATGGATTCAGTACAGTGAAAGTAATAAATAATGAGGAATGGTTACAGTGTGACAGCACTTACCTTTAATGTAGTCAGCTGAATGCACATGGGGCCCCCATAATTTTCTAATTATACATGGAGACTACATTAACTGGAAACGTTTCGGTATAGAAAATGCGTGTGTCATTTGAAGAAAAAAAATGTTCTCAACTGCGGCGGTCGTAAGTCCCGACGGTCGTAAGTCCAAGCAGTCGTAAGTCGGGGTCTAGCTGTATATCATTATTTCTCGTTATTTATAGTTATTACTCACTACTGTACAGTATTTCTCATTTGGTCAATTTATAGTAGTGCACCGTTCTTTCTTTGGATATTAGAAATATGTGTAAAAGTCCATAGAAAATCACCCCAAACCAACCTAACCTAATCAGGGGGGTGGAGTCCTTCTGTTTAGGTTAGGTTAGACAGAACGGTGCACTAATATATAAGGACCTCATTTATCGTCATTTTGATTTATTTATTACATTTATTGCTATTTAGTATTAATTCTGATTTCTCGTTATATCTCACCCTTTGGGTTAGGTTAGGTTGGGTTGGGTTGTGATCAAAGTGGGATAGTTTTATTCAGTGTAAACCTCGTAAACATCACAGGTTTCTTCCGGGTACTCCAGTTTTCTCATGTATTAACACTGGATAATAAATTTCATAACAAAGTAACTAAGAATTGATGAAGCTTGAGTAAAATTTTAGGAGAGGAGTCGGGTCATGTGCTGAAAATGTCCTGGGTATATGAACAGTAGTTCAATCAAAACCTATCCTAAAATATAATAATATATATAGATGGTTAATATTGATGACTAACCCTTGGAAAAGTTATTTGCTTTTTGTTTATTTTCATACTCTCTTTTCATCAGTGATTTCTGATATTATAATCATTTCTTGTGCAAATGCTTCGTTTCGTAGATGATTAGGAGCCTAGGCGCACACTATTATGTCTTCTCGGCGGTGACGTCTCATCCCGGGACGTAAACAGCCAATCATATTGATGTGCTGTATTTCAAAACACTCCGCCACCCGGGCCGGATGAACGCCAATGCTCAGTGAATGCTTATTAACTGTTTGATATGGGTGGCTGCTCTCACGTCCACCAAAAAATTAAAATTACACCATATCATAGTAAGTTCTTTCTGTTTAATATACTGGGGGTCCAGGGATCGGCTTGGAAGTTAGGTAAGATTGGGTAGGTTTGTTTGGTTAGGTTGGTGAGGTTTTCTAACAATGCTTCTGCTGCTTATTTTTTATATCAACTTACAGTAGGTTAGGTTAGGTTTGATATAGAAATACATAGTCACTTTTAACTACAACAGTGTCCACTATAAAACACAGTGAAATTGCGGCGTTTTTATTCTCGTTTTCCGTGAAAAATCAGCCGCAGATCAGTTGTCAATAATTACCGATAATTTTAATAGTAATAATTATAATAAAAAAAAAAGATCAAAAGTGAGGAACGATATATGTAAGTTGTGTTGTCAAAGTAAGAGAAACAATTGAAACTGCAATTGTGTGTAAATGAGGCAGAAAGTCAGATCAGCAACCTGGGACTTGGTCACAATTTTTGTGATTCCATATGGCAGCAGCGTCTACACAAAGAATAAACTGCATCTGAGTTTGTCTTCGTCCCGTGATACATAAGTTTGCATGGTGAAAATATGGCGCCAGTCAACTGAAAGTAACACTGACGTGGACGATCCTGACAGCGACTGATTTGCAGTGATGGGTTATTGAAGTACAGTGGTTCCTCGGTTAACAAACACAATTCGTTCCAGAAGGTCGTTCGTTAACCGAAACTATTGTTCCAATGGGATTTTGGGTAATTGGTTCTAGCTCACCGAAAATTACATACAAAGTAAAAAAAAATGTAGTGAAGTACACTTACTTTGAGGTGTGTATGTAGAAGGCTCCTGGTTGATGATGATGATGGGAATTAGAAGTGGGGGTGGAGGAGAAGGGAGAAGAGAAGGAAGCGGGGGTGGAAGAGAAATCACCCCATGCTTCATGCCGTCATTTCACCCATAAAATTTTAAGTTCACTTGGTGTAATTCAAGATTATTTTCTTTAAATCAACACTGCACTATATATTGTCAATATGTAAAATAAATTTCAGAATGACCAATAATTGTACTGTAAAAACGTAAAAATAGTTTATGTTCAAGAGAGCCACAAGCAAGATATTACCTCTACTGACCAGAGATACAAACTGACACCTGTTTGGTGAGTTGAGTGGCTGTTTGGCACACTAAAAACTAGTTTCCTGTACTTCAATTATGTTAAATAATTGTTAAAATGACTAAAAAATTTAATATAAAACTTGGAAAATTATTGAATAGTACAACTTTCTTGATATTTACTCAAATGGTAACGAATTTAAGCCCTAGAACCAATTACTGTATTGGCGGACTAATACCCCAGCTGGTGAGCAAGCGAAAACATGTTGAGAGGAATTCGTAAGGAATTCCTTAACCAAATTTATTTCGTTGACCGAATTGAATATTCTTATGGAAGGTAATTCGTTAACCGAGGGACCACTGTACATTACTCTACCACCAGCAGGATTAGAACACCTTGACGTAATAAGTGAGATATATACATTATTCTACCACCATTAGTATTGGAAGCCCTGAGGCCCCTTCGTCAGCATCACACTATCTTCCAATACTGTTCTGTAGAAATTATGAAAAAGGTGAAACAAAATTTGGATTTAGAATTTTTCATACATAGATTAAAACATTGGACAATTTATCTTTGTAATTGGAATTTTCGTAAACCTGATCTTCATAAATTGGGGTTTGTCTATATGCAGCAAATCAAAACATTAAAATCCTTGTCTGCTACTTTGCCTGTGACACTAAAGTACTAGGTGTCTATACTTAATGATACAATATTTTATGATATTTTAATTGGTTTTATTTTACCAAGTATAACATGAGGCTTAGTAAGGTACCATACCACACGTAGCTGATCCACAACGCTTCCCACAGACCATATACTGTGTCGTAAGTGTGGAACGGAGTTGACGGAAAACACTCGGGACAACTTCGTCAACGTCACGAGCCCACTGTCCGAGTCCACCTACCAGCTGACTGTCCTCGGACATTCTCACTTGATGGTACAGACTCTCAGAAACCCAGCCGATGTTACATTCAATCTGGTCGCGGTGAAAAGATCCGGCTGCTCTGGGGTTGGTGAGGTGAGTGAAAAGATGTGACTGCTCTGGGGTTGGTGGTGAGATGAGTGAAAAGATGTGACTGCTTTGGGGTTGGTGGTGAGGTGAGTGAAAAGATGTGACTGCTCTGGGGTTGGTGGTGAGATGAGTAAAGTGCAGTACTGTATAAGCCTTCATGTAAGGGACTTCTATTTAGACATCCATTTCCATGTATATATAGTACGTTAGTTGTGGGGGGTTCACATCTAACAGACCCTTGATATAATGGTCTTTCTTCTTTATTTAGTTTGTTAGATTGGGGTTTCATGTCTAATTGACCCCTTGATATAACGGACTCTCCTCTCCATATAGCCCATTAATGAGAGGTCTCACTTTAGTGTTTGTTTACCCCAGGGAGTTGTGACCTGCCTTACCATCTAAAACAATACCCATAAGTCATACAGCAATACCCAGTTTCGTTCCCTTGCTGTGAAAGGTGGTTTGTGATAGTAGGAGTGTCCAGCTTTAAATCTTGTTTCATATACTGTATGATTAATGGCAGCCTGGACACCAACTCAGGAGGTAAATACTGTATGGACAATCCACACAAACATGGTAATAGTGGAAAAGTAGCCAAGATAAATCTTGATAAAATCACAAAGGAAAAGGGATACACTGGAGCACCTTTAGTTTTCATCTTTATTCAAGACATCTTCAGGGGCAACTGAATTTACAGGGACCGAGAGAGGTTACTATACAATGGGTGACCTTACATAACAGGTCAGGTCAATAACATGGGATCCACTAATCCACACACCACCACCACCGTAAACAAAAGAAGAGCTTATAAAAAATGGGTGACATAACTACAGCTCAGGTCAAGTCAGGTCAAAAACAGAGACTCACTAATCATCTATGTCCACCTTAAATGCTTTGAAAGCATTTTTAACCTTAGGCCACTGACAAGTACAGGTTGTACCTCTCTAGTCCGGCATTCTGTGGTCCGGAAACTCACGTAGTCCAGAACGATTTTAGTTTGTCCAATGGGTAGATAGGCAATTTTTTTTTTTTTACACTTATCTGAATTAATATTGTTATTACAGGAGTATTAAATTTTTGCCCCTCAGGCCCCAATGTGGGTCAGTGACCTATGCCCGGGTGGGCTAATCCCCGTAAAAAAAAACAACAAAGCTGCGGGAAATTAAGGTTTGTTTACATCCGGCAGTTCGGCTGCTCTCTCTCTCTCTCTCTCTGCTTGTCTATACAGAGTACAACATTTAACCCTTCAATATATATGAGCAGTAAATAAGTGTTGCTTTCATATTCTTATGTAGAGTAATGATATGTTTTCACATGTGCGCACTTACATACGCGCAGTCTCACTTTTTTTACCATTAATGGTTAGCTACTTCTATTGTTCCATTTATTAACATTAATTAACATTACAGGTACTTCAAAAAACCATATTAATTTTTTTACATTAATTTTACTACACCTACAATCAGGGTCTTATTTTCTTCAGTTTTATATGTAGAACCAATCAGTCACTGGTTTTGTAAGCTTTAACAAAAACAATGCTGGCAGCCGTCTCGCCCAGGGTTGCCAGATGTATGACAAGCTTCACGGCCAACTTCACGCAACCTCACGGCCAAATCGGCCAACTTTCGACCAAAACTTTTTGGATGGGAAGCACAAGGCTATTTTTGCAATCCACACAAAATAAAAGTATCCCCCTACAATATCAACTTAAAATGTCGTAATAAAACCAAATTTTCACTAAGAATTGAGAGCCCAATAATTACATAAACATAATATTTATAATCTACAGTGAAGATTCACCTTAATCTGAAATGGTGGTGGAGCATGATAATGGTGGAGAACTTGATAACACTAGCTGGCGTAAGCAAAAACGTCTAGTTTGTCATCGTCCCCTGGTTTGTTGTATTTTCTACCACTGTCGTAGGACCCTTTCCATTTACTGGTGGACATTTTGAAAACTAGCACTCGGAATTTCAGAAAGTTACTCAGATGGCTTTGTAAGCTCTGAAGCTTAACCCATATGCTGGACACGTTCAGCCTGAACAACTCAAATATGAGAACTAACAACTAAGGTAGTAACTAGAAAGATCAGTCAGCTCAGTAGGTCAAGTAAACATGTGAAGAGGTGAGGTCACTGATTAGGTGAGGTCATGACAAGGTGAGGTCACTGAGCCGGCATTTTCATTGTGAAATTTGAAAATCTGCTAGAATATTCTTCACAATCCACTAAATGAGGAATTAATACGTGTTTTACAAAATTCGGCCAAAATTCGACCAAATAGTTTGGCCGTGACCATCCATTTTTCCACGGCCAGGCGAAGTTTTTTACGGCCTAATTCGGGAAATTTGGCCGTGGAAACGGCCATCTGGCAACCCTGGTCTCGTCTCCTCGTGTGTTTTAATATTCCATGTATTATTAATAAATTGTATTGTTAATTTTGCACACATAAACATTAATTCAATAAAAACAAATTCAGAAACATTAATTAAAATATATATGAACAGTAAATAAGTGTTGCTTTCATATTTTTATGTAAATGTAATGACGATATGTTTTCACATGTGCGTACTTACATACGCGATCTCTCTTTTTGCTTTACCATTATCGTTAGCTACTTCTATTGTTCCATTTATTAACATTAAATAACATTACTTAAAACAACCATATTAGTTTTACTACAGCTACAACCAGAGTCTTATTTTCTTCAGTTTTATATGTAGAACCAGTCATTCACTGGTTTTGTAATTAACGAAAATAATGCTGTCTCATTTCCTCGTGTTTTAATATTCTACATATTATTAATGAATTATATTGCTCATTTTGCACACACAAACATTAATTCAATCAATAAGACTTTCAGTAATAAACAATAATGAATCTTTTGTACATAAGAGAAATGACGCTGTTTACATGATTGTGCATGTCGTCTGAACGTTGGTGAGCCGTTCAAACCCGTCGAAATTCGAGTTTCCGCCGTCAAAATTTTTAAATGTGATGTTTTTTTTGTGTGTTCAAGTAGAAAACGTCGAATTAAAAACTCGCGAAATTTGAGAAGCTACTGTACGACATTTAACCCTTCAATATGTCTTCAAAGAGACCATGAAGCAGAGAAAGTGGTGCTAGTGCTTCCAAGCGTAAGCACAAGTCACTATCTATCCAGGAAAAGGGTGAATTTCCATGGTCCGGCACCGGTCAGGTCCCGAGGTTGCTGGACTAGAGAGGTACAACCTGTATTATTATTATTATTATAATTATAATTATAATAAATCCCCCCCCAAAGGCCCCAATGTGGGTCAGTGACCTGTGCCCGGGTGGGCTAATCCCTGTAAAAAAAATAAAAATAAATTTATGTAACATACCAGTTTTGTACTGACCATCAATAAGGTTTATAGAATTAATTTCCCGAATTAGACTTGCTTCAACTAGAAGTCTTTCTGTGACACATGTTGATTTAAACACATCTATGCAGTTTTTCCAATCTTTGGGATGATTATTGTTCCTTATAAGAACGAAAAGTGCACTGCGTTCAGATGCTGTTCTAATATGTATTATACTTGTGTTGCTTTATTCTGTTGTAATGCTTTCTCAGTCTGGCCTACATAATTACTACATGGATTACAGTAAATGCTTCCATTTACAGTTGTAAATTTAAAAAAAATATCCTGCTTTATTTTAATAATCACAAAATTAAATTAATGGATACTGGTGTTGTAATTTTTAATTTCTTTACACTCTTATTTTTTTGCCACGTTGTGGGTTGATAACCTGTGCCCATTCCCCGTACAGATGCTCCTCTACTTAAGAACATTTGATTTACAAACTTTCAGAGATATAAACATCATCATTGAAGGGGCAGGTGTTTCATGTGGATGAGACCGGATTATTTTGAAGAAAATTCCATATTTTAAGGCTGTGTTGTAGGGTGTAGCTGTACCAAACATTCATTATCTTTTACAATATATTAGGTAACTACAAGATTAAGTTGGACTTATGAACAAGTGTCAGGAATAACTCGTTGGTAAGAAGAGGAGCACCTGTATTGTAACACAAAATATGGAAAAAGAAATGAAAGAGATCTGTGACCCCCTAGACCGAATGTTATAGCTGTTCTATAAGTTATGGAAATACTTAAAATGAGATTTGGAAATACACTGGCGATATTATTGCATGCATATACAGTGGTCCCTCGGTTAACGAATTGCCTTCCATGAGATTCTTCAATTCAGTTAACGAACAAAAATTTGATTAACGAAATTCTTACGAACATCATGTTTGGTTGTGAGCATCAGCTGATGGGCTAGTCTGCCAATCCAGTAATTCAGTAATCTGTTCTATGTTTACATTCGTTTCCAATAGAGTGAATGTCAATAAAATTGTGCTCTTTAATATTTGTGCATTTTTTATATTAATATTATTGGTCATTCTAAAATTTAGCCATCCAAGCTATTGTCTACCGGGTACATAAAATTTTTCAACTATTATTTTTGGCTCGATATATGTAACTTTATTGAAACTCATTTACATGCACACACTGTCCTAAGGGCAAAACTGTACTGTACATGTAATCAAAATAATGTACAAAATGAATACTAAAATTTTAGTCTAGTGCAAACTGTTGCATGTTTACATTCAAATTAACCACTATCTTATAAAAATTCCAGAAATGTAAATTATATTCTCCCAGGTCACTTCTATGACATTTTATAAGCAAAAAACAAAAACTCAATCTTAAGGACATAATAAACAAATAAATACTTCACTAGACCTTCGGCACTAACTGTCAAACATGTCACTGTCACCCCTCCTTCCCCTCCCCCCCACCCCCCCCTACCAGTAAGTGTTTGGTGGTTATACTGTACAGTAGTCTGTAAGTTTTAGGAGAATAAAATTTATATTGCTGGAATCCTTGCAAGACAGCGAATAATTTGAATATAAACGTCATATATTTTGCACAATTGATAAAAATTAATCACTGTATCAGCATTACAGTAGTGATTTAAGAGTA